TCATACTGCCCAGAAACTCTTATTCCTAGTCTGTGTCTAACAAACTCAGGGAAATCTTAACAACTTATAACAACGTATTCATTGGATACCATCATATCCAGAAACCTATTCTCCCTAGTCCATACCTTTTATAGACTTAGGTCAAATATAATTGTGTACTATACTCTTTCCATTCAATTCAATTCCTCTTGGATCTTTGAACTCTTATATCCAAGGCTTTCTTAATGTATATAATTACTTAATATTAATCAATATAAATTATCCTTCCTTAGTTTTCTTCCTTATGTTACCATTGTTTGTTTTACTTCACCTCGATTATAAACAAATTACTCATTATAGTTAATCTATGAAATACTATTGAACTCAATCTTTGTGGTATTAAGTAACCATGATCCTTATTTTATCGACTTCATATTTTATCTTCCTCTGATACTTCTCATTCTATGTATAGGTAATAATGTAATAGTTCTCTTCATAATACCATCCATTAATAATTTTACTCCATGTGTTAAATAGCTATAAGTAGTCTCTTTTGGTATTAATACACTCATAACTGTTACATAACTTTTCATTGTCTCTTTTCTTTTTCGTTAATATTTAGCAATTGATATGTATGTTAGTGTCAATGTTTTATTTCTTTGTAAGTCTGTTAATCTTCTGTATCGAATGAACTCTGTAGAATCTTCCATCACAGTTTGCAGATCAGATGAAAAGTCTCTTTCCAACAGTCGATGTCCAGTAGTCTGAAGGAATGCTTTCCTGATTTATTGCCACATGGATCTGTCACGCTTTACCTACATTAAAACAAATAACATGTGCAGCATCAATACAATGGCTTACAATGTTTATATCTCATTATTATTACACAGTTTAACATTGAATCATACTGACTACACAAAACATACTCATATCCTCTCATGAGATCTACCATCTACTGGTCATTACATCTATGCGATGTGATGTATAATCTTTAAATTTCCTTTATATTAAAATCTTTCTGAACATGTAAATTCTCAATTCTCAAACTTTTTATTACTCATACCCCCCTTTTAAACTGTTTAATAATCTGGAGGTATAACCTAATCACATGTCAGATGTTACAACTAAATATTGTTTTCCACTATACTTTAGCTATAGTAGCCATTTTGTCACATGAAACAAACTACAAAAAACATATATTGTTTCCTTCATCAAATGTATTTGTAAATCTAGGTTTTATTCTATCAAAACTTGTGTCTTCTATGTAGTCAAAACATATGTATGTCCAGGCTTTGCAAAATATAGTAATCCATTATCAGTCATGATATTAAAATCTCATTCTCATGAATTAAATCAAAGATTTTAAATCAACCTCAGAAGTAACAAGGAATATATCCATTGTTTTTTCCTTCTGTAAAATGATTGGAGTTACTGTATAATCGCATACACCCAATATAACCTTGCATGTTCCTAACTGCTACATTAGTGTATTTCATACTGTCATATTTGCAAACTTGATGTAAATTTTTATTTTAATTAATTAACCTAATACTTTCTTATAACACACATATAAAACAATGAAAAAACAGTTCAGACTAACAATATTAAAACAACAAACTAACATAGATCTCTATTCTTGTGCTGTTTTTAATTCTGGAATCAGCCTGTGTACATCTGTTGGCAGACATATCCATGCTTATTCCCTAAATTGATCATATCTCTTGAAGTTATCTGATTCTTATAACTTTCTGAGTTGCACTGCATTGCTTGTCTGTCTCCTAATTTCGATTTAGCTAAAATTGCTTTTATTTGTCTGATTATCAGTTTACAAGGAAAGGCTTTAATTGATTTATCTCCACATGTATTTTCTCTGTCAAAATTTTCAATCAACAAATTTAATTTCTCATTTGCTTTTGATTTGATATCTCGGATAAAATATCTGCAAGATCTTAAATAATGTTGTTTGTTGCACCAAAAACAAATAACTTTAGGAGTTATATTTTGCCCTATATTATCAACTCTACAGTTTTTAGTTGAATAAATTGGGAGGGGCTCAGCTGTCTGTATCACTCTACACTCTGTCCTAGAAGAAGAAGGAGAAGGAGGGGGACGAGGGCTGTAAAATCTGCACTTCTTTCTCTGCCTAAATCCACAAGTCGTTTTAACCCCTTCATTATTGGTTTCTCTCCTTAAGTTATCCAAGAACAAAGCTACCTCTGTCAAAGTGCTTTTTTCTCTAGCTAACACAATTGCAGTTGGATCTAGATCTTGAAATTTTTTCACAAATTCATTAATTAACTGATCTTCAGAAAAATCAGCAACAAGTCTATATGCACTTTCAAATTTTGCAAGAAAACTAAATATATCCTCCCCTTTGTGTGGTTTTAGTTTTTCCAACATTTCAGTGTCTGCAAAATCATTCCCTGTTGTTAATTTTATTAATTGTGTTAATCTGTCTTGCTTATTTCCATATATTATTTCATCATTGTCCTCGAAATTTACAGGCGTGGTCAGTCTACATGCCATTTGAGTCGGCAGCCATGTTTTAAATAGTCTATTCCTTTGTTCGTCATTTAGGCTGTATTTGTCCAAATTTGACTCAAACATTTCAGCATTAGTAAATGCATCCACTGACATGTCATAAACTGGAATACATTTCACAATTTTCATTAATTGTTCATGGATTTTCAAATTAAGTTTTGCAGCTCTGTCTTGAAATTTACATTTCTGCAAATCACTCTGTGAGGATACATTTTCAGTATCTGTTAGTTCTGGGATTAGATTCTGTGCCTTTATTTTTCTTGTATTAACACACACTAGTTTAACTTCATTTCTAAGCTGGCAACTCAAATCATTTCTTTGTTCAACTCTATCCTCTAATTCACAGACTTTTTCTGATAATGTTCTCTCTGTTACTTTGTTACACTGTTCATTTAAATCTGATTTGTCTTCTGTTAACCCATTCAAATCTATTTCTTTTTCTGCTGATTCTAAATTTTCTTGCCCTGCATCTCGTTTACAAATCAATGCATTGTAAGTACAGACTAGTTTCATAACATTTCTGATCTTTTGTTTTTTCTTATTAACAAACAATTTCTTGGCAATTTTACTATTGGCAATTTCACATTGTGTGTATAAAGATTGCCACAACACAGCATCTGAATAGCTGCTATTACATGCAAACTGCAATTTATTTTTCTCTGCAACATCATTTATGAATTCCATGTTACTCACCAGATCAGTTATTTCTGTCTATTTCGTTGCTTCATCCACACAGCTGCGCAGTTCTTTGCTTGGACGCTTGCCAATGTCTGCCACGTGCTTGCTTCTAGAATTCACGTTGTATCTTGTGCTTTTTGTCTCAGTTGTAGAAAATAGTCTTGTACAGTCTTTGATTTGAAAACTCTATTTTTCTTACAAACCACAGTTCTTCTATGACAGTCAGTCTAGATTCTTTTTTTCTCTTCAAGTTTGTTTTCCCAGTTCAAAAATAGCTTTGTAACTCGATTCTTCTCTCTCCCCCCTTGAAGTGGGAACAAAACTTTGAATAGAAGACTGGCAGGCTAGCCAATGTAAAAAAACTAGATGAATGGATGTTCAATGTAATAATGTTGATTCTTCTTAATTTCTTCTCATCTTCGGTTGATTGATATATATACGTCTTTTGTATATATATTCTTGGGCCAAATGCTCGCCACAATAATATATGTCTATATTATTGAAAAGTAGTAATACTCAATCTGACTTACGGTTTCTTCAGGTTTATTCTTTGTTACGGATACATAATAAAGGATGTTACAGGATAGTGGACATTCAACAGCAGATGGTAATTGCTGGACTTCTGATGGGAGAGTTACATCGTTGTACAGAGCCAAGAGCCAAGCCAAGTGTGAGACCAAGACTGAGAGACCTCGTGTCCCTCTGTTACTATATAGAAGTGCTAATACTAACGTCAGCATATAACTCTAGCCATATAAGGACAAAACCCCCACATCCACATTCCAGAACTCTCGGACAAAGAAAGCCTTGTGACTTATTGATACCATCTGTTACTTATGTCAATCCACACATCCATATATATAATCAATAGAAACATAGAATATGCAATATTCTACAGTGTGTATATGTGTAAATGTGTGACTGTATCTGTTTGTGACTGTGTGTCTGTATCGGCATGTGTGTCAGTGTGTGTATATATCTGCATACATCCCTGCATTCCAGTGTAAACACTACACACAAACACATCCCTGCATTCCAATGTAAACACTACACACAAACACATCCCTGCATTCCAGTGTAAACACTACACACAGACACATCCCTGCATTCCAATGTAAACACTACACACAAACACATCCCTGCATTCCAATGTAAACACTACACACAAACACATCCCTGCATTCCAATGTAAACACTACACACAAACACATCCCTGCATTCCAATGTAAACACTACACACAAACACATCCCTGCATTCCAGTGTAAACACTACACACAAACACATCCCTGCATTCCAATGTAAACACTACACGCAAACACATCCCTGCATTCCAATGTAAACACTACACGCAAACACATCCCTGCATTCCAATGTAATCACTACACGCAAACACATCCCTGCACTCCAATGTAAACACTACACGCAAACACATCCCTGCATTCCAATATAAACACTACACACAAACACATCCCTGCATTCCAATGTAAACACTACACACAAACACATCCCTGCATTCCAATGTAAACACTACACACAAACACATCCCTGCATTCCAATGTAAACACTACACACAAACACATCCCTGCATTCCAATGTAAACACTACATACAAACACATCCCTGCATTCCAATGTAAACACTACATACAAACACATCCCTGCATTCCAATGTAAACACTACATACAAACACATCCCTGCATTCCAATGTAAACACTACATACAAACACATCCCTGCATTCCAATGTAAACACTACACACAAACACATCCCTGCATTCCAATGTAAACACTACAGACAAACACATCCCTGCATTCCAATGTAAACACTACAGACAAACACGTCCCTGCATTCCAATGTAAACACTACACGCAAACACATCCCTGCATTCCAATGTAAACACTAAACACAAACACATCCCTGCATTCCAATGTAAACACTACATACAAACACATCCCTGCATTCCAGTGTAAACACTACATACAAACACATCCCTGCATTCCAATGTAAACACTACAGACAAACACATCCCTGCATTCCAATGTAAACACTACATACAAACACATCCCTGCATTCCAATGTAAACACTACAGACAAACACATCCCTGCATTCCAGTGTAAACACTACATACAAACACATCCCTGCATTCCAATGTAAACACTACACACAAACACATCCCTGCATTCCAATGTAAACACTACAAACACATCCCTGCATTCCAATGTAAACACTACATACAAACACATCCCTGCATTCCAATGTAAACACTACATACAAACACATCCCTGCATTCCAATGTAAACACTACTACATACAAACACATCCCTGCATTCCAATGTAAACACTACTACATACAAACACATCCCTGCATTCCAATGTAAACACTACACACAAACACATCCCTGCATTCCAATGTAAACACTACATACAAACACATCCCTGCATTCCAATGTAAACACTACACACAAACACATCCCTGCATTCCAATGTAAACACTACAGACAAACACATCCCTGCATTCCAATGTAAACACTACAGACAAACACGTCCCTGCATTCCAATGTAAACACTACACGCAAACACATCCCTGCATTCCAATGTAAACACTAAACACAAACACATCCCTGCATTCCAATGTAAACACTACATGCAAACACATCCCTGCATTCCAGTGTAAACACTACATACAAACACATCCCTGCATTCCAATGTAAACACTACAGACAAACACATCCCTGCATTCCAATGTAAACACTACACAAACACATCCCTGCATTCCAATGTAAACACTACAGACAAACACATCCCTGCATTCCAGTGTAAACACTACACACAAACACATCCCTGCATTCCAATGTAAACACTACAAACACATCCCTGCATTCCAATGTAAACACTACATACAAACACATCCCTGCATTCCAATGTAAACACTACATACAAACACATCCCTGCATTCCAATGTAAACACTACTACATACAAACACATCCCTGCATTCCAATGTAAACACTACTACATACAAACACATCCCTGCATTCCAATGTAAACACTACACACAAACACATCCTGTCGAGATGGCACCGTGTAGAAAAGTCCAAACAGTGTCTGTGAGTTAAAATGGCCGCCATCCATTGTTCTCACCATGTGCCTCTGATACAGGAAATGGTGGCCACCCAGTAACTCCACAGTATGTCCCCAGATGGTTCTTAAAGGGCCAGCAGCAGCACAACACAAATCCATTATGCCCAAATCATGTCTTTAAAGGGCAATACATCCCAGGGGCTATAGTCACAGGGCAAGAGGCGGGCAAGCAGTCCTCTCCAGGCACAAGTGGCGAAGGGCACTTCGTCACAGCATGTTTTTGTATGGAGTAAGTGTGAGTGAATGTAGAGGTGTGTTTGTATGTAGTGTTTACATTGGAATGCAGGGATGTGTTTGTATGTAGTGTTTACATTGGAATGCAGGGATGTGTTTGTGTGTAGTGTTTACACTGGAATGCAGGGATGTGTTTGTGTGTAGTGTTTACATTGGAATGCAGGGATGTGTTTGTATGTAGTGTTTACATTGGAATGCAGGGATGTGTGTGTGTAGTGTTTACATTGGAATGCAGGGATGTGTTTGTGTGTAGTGTTTACATTGGAATGCAGGGATGTGTTTGTATGTAGTGTTTACATTGGAATGCAGGGATGTGTTTGTGTGTAGTGTTTACACTGGAATGCAGGGATGTGTTTGTGTGTAGTGTTTACATTGGAATGCAGGGATGTGTGTGTGTAGTGTTTACATTGGAATGCAGGGATGTGTTTGTGTGTAGTGTTTACATTGGAATGCAGGGATGTGTTTGTATGTAGTGTTTACATTGGAATGCAGGGATGTGTTTGTGTGTAGTGTTTACATTGGAATGCAGGGATGTGTTTGTATGTAGTGTTTACATTGGAATGCAGGGATGTGTTTGTATGTAGTGTTTACATTGGAATGCAGGGATGTGTTTGTGTGTAGTGTTTACATTGGAGTGCAGGGATGTGTTTGTGTGTAGTGTTTACATTGGAGTGCAGGGATGTGTTTGTGTGTAGTGTTTACATTGGAGTGCAGGGATGTGTTTGTGTGTAGTGTTTACATTGGAGTGCAGGGATGTGTTTGTATGTAGTAGTGTTTACATTGGAATGCAGGGATGTGTTCCCTGCTGTATAGTCCAAAACCACTGCACGATGTCTCTGTGCACCAAATACTGGCGAGATGGCACCGTGTTGAAAACTCCAAACAGTGTCTGTGAGTTAAAATGGCCGCCATCCATTGTTCTCACCATGTGCTTCTGATACAGGAAATGGTGGCCCCCAGTAACTCCACAGTATGTCCCCAGATGGTTCTTAAAAGGGCCAGCAGCAGCACAACACAAATCCATTATGCCCAAATCATGTCTTTAAAGGGCAATACATCCCAGGGGCCATAGTCACAGGGCAAGAGGCGGGCAAGCAGTCCTCTCCAGGCACAAGTGGTGAAGGGCACTTCGTCACACATGCTTACATTGAAACACTGCTCAATGCTACATACATTAAATTGTGGGCGTTTTTTACATTTTAAAGTGATCTCCTGATCACACACGGCATGTCATTATTCCACACGCTATCTCCTGATCACACACGGTATGTTGGTATTCCACATATTATCTCCTGATCACATGCAGTGTGCCGTTATTCCACATATCTCCTGATTCCACACTGTATGGCGATATTCCACATATTATCTCCTGATCACACACGGTATGGCGGTATTCCACATATTATCTCCTGATCACACACGGTATGTCGTTATTCCACATATTCCACATATTATCTCCTGATCACATACAGTGTGTCTTTATTCCACATATTAACTCCTGATCACACACGGTATGTCGATATTCCACATATCTCCTGATCACATACGGTGTGTCGTTATTCCACATATTATCTCCTAATCACATACGGTGTGTCGTTATTCCACATATTATCTCCTGATCACACACGGTATATCGGTATTCCACATTGTGACGAGACCAATCTCGCCACATTGCATTGGAGAAGCCTATTTGCCAGCCTCCTTCCACATGACTATGGCCCCTGGGAGATGGTGAAAACGTATGCACTTTTATTGGGTGTGTATGGCCCTTTAAGACAGTCAGTGGGCATATTGTGGCTTATGGACTCTTTATGGGACTGGTGCTGGCTCTTTAAACACCTTTTTGGGACATCAGGAAGATTGGAACACTGCCCCTTTAAGACGGTGTCCCCAGACTTGTTTGGGACATTGCCCCTTTAACACGGTGTCCCCTGTGTCCCCAGACCTGGTTCAAACCCTTTGTGCATGGCTATTTCCCACTTGGTTCAGTAAATGCGGCTTACTGAACCAAGTATCACACAGGCGGACCACCTGTCTTGGGAGTGTGTCGGCAATTTACCTCCCAGAAGCTGTGGTTAACCGCAGCTTAATTGCCGAACGCTGGGTGGCCTTTGTTCGTTTGCCAAACACGTGGCGGCGGCCATCTTTGTTGATGCGAACAAGGTCAGCGGTATGTGTAGCCAAATTCATGGAACTAAAATCGGCTACACATTTCCGCGAACACCGCTGAGCCCTACCTTCTCCCACAATGATTTTACAGCTGCAGAGACTAAGTCCCATTCGGCGATGAGACTTAGTAGTTTTTTCAGCCTGAAATAGACCGGCCGCACAGCCCAAATCTATGGAACTGTTTTGGGCATGAAAATGTGCTTGCAGTCGGTCATAAAGGGACCTCCAGCTAACTTTTTAACCCCTGGATGGATTTGGCTGATTTTTGGTTATGTTTATGTTTAAAGTGTGCTGATTCCAAATATGTATTCCAAAGATTGGATGTGTAGTTTTAAAGTTACAGTGTATGGATAAAAACTGTATTTTTACTGCCTGTGTTTAATTATGTTAAACCATTGTGCAACATAATTATATCACAGGCAGAGGGGAGGATTTTTGTGTGTAATTGCTGGGAGTGTTTCTGTAATGTACGTTTATGATTGGTTGTTGTGTAAAACCCTGTGGGTGGTACTAATGTGTAAGAATGTGTATATAAGGATAATAAACCCACAGCTCTGTCTGTTCACTGCTTGACCCTCAACGCGGAGCTTTGTCTCGTTCTTGGGGGGGGGATTTACTGTATGCTGTTCCAGTTTGACTGCTAGGAGTGTAAACCTATTCGTATGGTTTTTCCTATTTGGCCGTTTACAGCATTCGTATGGTTTCCTGTTCGGCGGCTTGGTGTTCTGCAGTAGTTGTGCCTGTGTCTCTGGAAGGGAAGATCTACTAAACGGCGGTTTAAACCCTTTTATGCCTGGGGGTGCCGTTACACACATATTATCTCCTGATCACATACGGTGTGTCGTTATTCCACATATTATCTCCTGATCACACACGGTATGTCGGTATTTCACATATTATCTCCTGATCACATACGGTGTGTCGTTATTCCACATATTATCTCCTGATTCCACACAGTATGCCGTTATTCCACATATTATCTCCTGATCACACACGGTATGTTGGTATTCCACATATTATCTCCTGATCACACACGGTATGCCGTTATTCCACATACTATCTCCTGATCACACACGGTATGTCGTTATTCCACATATTATCTCCTGATCACACACGGTATGTCGGTATTCCACATATTATCTCCTGATCACACACGGTATGTCGGTATTCCACATATTATCTCCTGATCACACACGGTATGTCGGTATTCCACATATCTCCTGATCACACACGGTATGTCATTATTCCACATATCTTCTGATCACACACGGTATGTCATTATTCCACATATTATCTCCTGATCACAAACGGTATGTCGTTATTCCACATGCTATCTCTTGATTCCACATAGTATGATTCACATACGGTCTCCTGATTTCACATGTTATCTCCAGATTTCAGATTTAATCTCTTGATTTCACATGTTATCTCCAGATTTCAGATTTAATCTCCAGATTTCAGCTCCTGATTTCACATGTTATCTCCTGATTTCACATGTTATATTCTGATTTCACATGTTATATTCTGATTTCACATGTTATATTCTGATTTCACATGTTCTCTCCTGATTTCAGATTTTATCTCCTGATTTCACATGTTATCTCTTGATTCTCTCCTCTATCTTATGTCTCGTTCCAGGTGTCTCCACAGGTTGGCAGATTGAGGTACCCCAGGAACCTGTCCTGGGATTGGTTGGTGATTCAGTCCTTCTGCCTGTTTCCTACTTCATCCCTCAACCTCCAGCCATACTCCATATCACGTGGGTTTACCATAAGTCCATCATTCTTTTTGCAGAAATGATTCGCTGTCACAGTGATCCGTCCATCTTTTCCTCTCCTCCCAGGCTATGCCACGAATATAGTATAGCGGTGGAGGAGTACCGGCAGAGAGTAACATTCTTACCAGATACCGCCTCCTTACTTCTCAGCGACTTGCATCTAAATGACAGCGGAATATACCTGGTGAACTTCGCAGAACTCAACCAAACCAAGAGCCTAACCCTGCTTGTCCAAACACAGTACCAAGTGCCAGGTATCTACAAGCAGAATATGTCATTTTACACAATATTCTCTCAGCTTCTCGGATGTGGTTTCTCTGGTGCAGTTTAGATAGTATTTAAATCATGGCTGGGGTGCTGGCTAATGTAGCCCTTGGCACAGGGTTTCTGTAATTATTCCATTCAGAAGTTCTGGCACTGGCAAGATGACAAAGCTGGTAGAAATGTTTAACTTCATCCATAATGTTTTGAAACCATTTCCCTAACCCAGTGCCTAATGCCTTTAACAGCATGCGCTACCCACACAAGTTGGGTGCACGTTATATAGCCAGGGAGGAGGGGAATCGCCAGCCGGGCAGCTTGCAGCGGGGTGATTTGGCAGACTATATCATGGTATCAGGATACATTCAGCAGAATACGATCCCCCTGGCTGTGCCACCTAGAGGGACAATATAAGCACCAAAACAACGCTTGCTTAAGTAAAACGCTAAGATTGGAAATAAAAAAAATGTATTTGTAACAGAGTTTCTTCCAAACGCGTTAGATCCTAATGCAGTTCTGGGGGAGCGTTTGGCGTGGTAATGCGAGCTTGGCCTTTACTCCAGCTGTACCATGTGAGTACATGTGCAGTGTGTACAGCACTGCCACTGGTAACTAGTTTAAATAATACATTGCCTGAGCTGCCTAGCAAAGTTTCAAAATGAAATGTAAAAAGTTTGCAAATAAAAAAATAAAAAAAGAATCTGAGAAGAATTTAAAACAAAATAAAAATAGAACCAGTGACAGATACCTTTTAGTTAGCTATCTGGTGGTGATAAAATTGGGGGTTAATGTCAAGCATCGAAACCACAACAACACACCATAGAGGATCATAAGCCTGCGGTGCCCTGGCACTGCTTTACAGCTGTTTTACAACAGTTTGCGGCTGGAGTGAATGGCAGCTGAGCGAGGATCCTGCTCCACATTTAATGGGCAGACAAGTTAGCGTAAGGCTGTCAGCCAGCAACGTGCGCCTGATCAGAGAACATGCACAGAATTACCTCATTTACTGGCAGACAAGTTAGCGTAACGCTGTCAGCCAGCAACGTGCGCCTGATCGGAGAACATGCACAAAATTACCTCATTTACTGGCAGACAAGTTAGCGTAACGCTGTCAGCCAGCAACGTGCGCCTGATCGGAGAACATGCACAGAATTACCTAATTTACTGGCAGACAAGTTAGCGTAACGCTGTCAGCCAGCAACGTGCGCCTGATCGGAGAACATGCACAGAATTACCGCATTTATTGGCAGACAAGTTAACGTAACGCTGTCAGCCAGCAACGTGCGCCTGATCGGAGAACATGCACAGAATTACCTCATTTACTGGCAGACAAGTTAGCGTAACGCTGTCAGCCAGCAACGTGCGCCTGATCGGATAACATGCACAGAATTACCTCATTTATTGGCAGACAAGTTAGCGTAACGCTGTCAGCCAGCAAGGTGCGCCTGATCAGAGAACATGCACAGAATTACCTCATTTATTGGCAGACAAGTTAGCGTAACGCTGTCAGCCAGCAACGTGCGCCTGATCGGAGAACATGCACAGAATTACCTCATTTACTGGCAGACAAGTTAGCGTAACGCTGTCAGCCAGCAACGTGCGCCTGATCGGAGAACATGCACAGAATTACCTCATTTACTGGCAGACAAGTTAGCGTAACGCTGTCAGCCAGCAACGTGCGCCTGATCGGAGAACATGCACAGAATTACCTAATTTACTGGCAGACAAGTTAGCGTAACGCTGTCAGCCAGCAACGTGCGCCTGATCGGAGAACATGCACAGAATTACCGCATTTATTGGCAGACAAGTTAACGTAACGCTGTCAGCCAGCAACGTGCGCCTGATCGGAGAACATGCACAGAATTACCTCATTTACTGGCAGACAAGTTAGCGTAACGCTGTCAGCCAGCAACGTGCGCCTGATCGGATAACATGCACAGAATTACCTCATTTATTGGCAGACAAGTTAGCGTAACGCTGTCAGCCAGCAAGGTGCGCCTGATCAGAGAACATGCACAGAATTACCTCATTTATTGGCAGACAAGTTAGCGTAACGCTGTCAGCCAGCAACGTGCGCCTGATCAGAGAACATGCACAGAATTACCTCATTTACTGGCAGACAAGTTAGCGTAACGCTGTCAGCCAGCAACGTGCGCCTGATCAGAGAACATGCACAGAATTACCTCATTTACTGGCAGACAAGTTAGCGTAATGCTGTCAGCCAGCAACGTGCGCCTGATCAGAGAACATGCACAGAATTACCTCATTTATTGGCAGACAAGTTAGCGTAACGCTGTCAGCCAGCAACGTGTGCCTGATCAGAGAACATGCACAGAATTACTTCATTTATTGTGTGGGGATATTTATGGGATGATAATATTAAACAGTCGAGAATTGCCCACTATTTCAGAAAAAAGGAAGAAAAAAAACCCAAAAAGGGATGTCTTATA